ACACACACACACACACACACACACACACACACACACACACACACACACCAGCGTATGAGAAAATTTTACTGTTCTGAAGCAGCTGTAAATCACAAAGGTCATTGATATATACTAGGAACAGTGTGGGACCCAGAATGCTTCCCTGTGGAACTCCGAACGTAATGGGTTGGGCGTCGCTAGTATAGACACCAATTTTTACATACTGAGTTCTCTCCGAGAGGTAGCTTCTAAATAAATCAAACTGTGGTCCCCTCAGTCTCAGTGATTGCAGCTTATGTAATAGTTGGGGTATCGAAACCGTATCAAAAGCCTTAGCCAGTTTCAGAAATACACCGAGACATCCATGTCGGTTATCCAAGTTGATGACCACATGATCAACTAACTGATGTACAGCATCCGCAGTCGATCTACCCTTCCGAAATTCGAATTGGTGAACGGATAGAAGGTGAGTGGTTTCCAAAAAATTAACCAGCCTGTTGTTGAGAATGCGCTCAAGAATCTTTGACAAAGCTGATAGGACTGAGATGGGCCTATCAGCTTTGTCTTTGGATCCCCCGCCTTATATATAGGATGTATAACCGCCGTATTAAATTTTTCAGGAAAAGGTCCTGCAGAGATACTGAGATTACAGATGTACGTGAGCGGCGGTATGATGAGGTTTTTGTATCGTCTTATAAGACTTCCAGCGATATCATCCCATCCCGTTGCACAATCCGCCTTTAGAGAGTTAATTAATTACTCCACTTCACGATCATCTGTCTCCAACATAGCAAAAGATTTACCATTGATCCTCTCAGGCAGATTATAATTGGATCCCGAGTTCTGCATATTGGTGTGTGCCAAATTAGGGCCCACATTTACAAAGAAATGGTTCACCAAATCAATCGAATTTTGAGGTGAACTTCTTACTTGCAAAAATAAATCAGCTATGTTTTTAGGTTTGTTTACATTGGCAACTTTACCAATGGCTTCCCACAGTCTCCTTCCATCTCTGCCAGCCTTTCTAATTTCTTCCCTTTCGAAGTCTCTTTTTGCGTTTTTTATGTGAGCGTTACAAAAATTTTGATACCTCTTATAAGAGAGTTTGAGAATTTCATCATTAGGATGTTTTTTAGTTTCCTATACAAATTGTCTCTATGCCTCATGCATTTTATTAGACCCGGGGTAATCCAAGGCTTAAGCGCTCTCCGCCTATGAGATACGTAATAGGATTTAGTGCATCTTTTAACGGCCAGACGAATAGAATAGAAGAATCAAATATCGAGTAGCAACGTTTACATCATTAGTGGAATGTACTGTGTCAAAATGTATTTGATTGATGGCTTCATCTAGTTCAATAAAGTCGATCCTGGAAATTTTGCGACATGGAATTCGACTATTTGTTTCGACAGAGAGTAGGACAGCATAGTGGTCAGTAATTGTTGCATCTAAGACTAGCTTTGTGGCTGCAAAAGAGGTTCTCAATATAGTGTGGTCAATGTAAGTCCCGCTATCTTCTCGTGTAGTGAAAAAGTGACCGGGGTATAAGCCATAATGAGCTATGAGGTCCTGGTAATCAAAAGAGGTGGTGACAAATTTATTTGGTGTGATATCGATATTTATATCTCCTATAATGGCTACAGTTCCAAAAGCTGACAAACTACCAAGAACATCCCAGTGAAACTAGAAAGTTGTCAATGCTAACAAAGGCGGGTGGTCTGTATATGGCTACCACAGCCAGTTTTGTACTAAATTTTATTAGCAGACAGTCAAAATCAGACACAGTTAGCTCCTCTACAGTAACATTGCTGTAGGCATTGTTAACATAGACCACAAGGCCGTCGTTTTGATTGTATAATTTTGACGATTTGTACATACTATAGCCAAGAAGAGTAGGGACATTCGAGTTAACCGACAGCCAGCATTCAGCGAGAATTATCATATCGCAATGTATTGACACCCTTCAAAGTAAAGTTGTCAAGCTTGACATGGTAGCGTTTATGCTACGGATATTTTAGGAGAGAAAATTTAGCTTTTTAGAACCAGGTGTAATTAGTGTTGAACATTCTTCAGGTTTACAGAAATAAGATTCAAATATGGAATTGCGGGCGATATTAGTTAATAGATTATTTGTGCAAGTCATTTTTTTAAAAGGAAATGAAAATATCAAAAACAGTGTGTACATATTATTTAAGGCAAAGATTGAAGTCCAACAGGCGAAAGGAAATTGACAAAAAGAAGTCATACAAGTGGCAATTCATACGAGTATTAGACGTTACTGTAAAATCGCAATGTATACAGCAGTAAGAGTGTGGTGGGTGTGAGTAATATGCGTGTTTGGCGTGTAATATGTGTAAGAGTGTAAGTATTATGTATATAAAAGACACAACATTGACATTTACGTTAAAAAATAATTCCAACAAGATTACAGAAAATGAGCAGGGAAAGAATAAGCATGCAAATATGAAGGCCAAGATGAAAACAATGAGATAAATTAACTTAACTAGGTCTAGTCATTTATCATATAAAAGGGGCAAATCACTTTCACAGTCAATTTTTATAGTCGAGGTGCCCTCTTTTTTCCGAAAAATCGTAATTGTTTCTTCTTGCAAAGTCTCTTGCAAGATGGTGTAGCTTCTTTCTTTATTCCGATTAAGCTAGTGTTAAATTTATTATTCTTATTGATCCTGTTATGGGCTCTAAGACTTTGCAGCAAATCTTCTTTCTTCTTTGTTGTAGTAAAATCAACGATAATAGGTTTGTCTTATTCCTTCTTCGTGTTGACTCTAAAGGCAATTTGACTTTGACGCGCGCGATTACGACCAAACTTCAGTCGCATTATACCTTACTGTATGACGTGCTTATGTGCGGGTGGAGAAAGGGGTGAGGGAAATATTTATTGGCGTGTGGTAATATTTTAAAAACATATCTGGATGTTCACATAAATTTTCATATACTTAGTATACGAAACTGTCCACATTTTAACCTTTCCACATTGACTGGATGTAGGTACCCAGCTTCGTATTCTATTACTCACATCGTCTAATGCTTCATAAATGCATACTATGTTTAATGGATCCATTATACTATATGATACAAACACCCGTACGAACGCTTAAAAGCAACTGAAAAAAATACGTTCGCCTGGCGTTCCAGCCGAATTTCGGTCGTATGTAAACTGCGAGACTTCAAAAACGTGACTCACAACACAACTCACAAGGTTACGCTCGTCTGGCCTCACCCTTAATCGCGTACGTTTGTTTAAAACTGCGAACTGAAATCTACGATCTCGCACGACGCATCGCAAAAATTATATAATAATGCGAATTGCTCCGCATCGCGCTTTTCTGCAATGTTAATCTTCTTTGTTTTTTTTCCTACACTTTCTTATTAATAACAGCAGTGCAATACTCTTTTAACCGATTTCAAAAAAGGAGGAGGTTCTCAATTCGACTGTATTTTTTTTTGTATGTATGTTACGCTATAACTCCGGTATTTGTGAACCGATTTTCATGATTCTTTTTTGTTGGAAAGGGGGTACTTCCATAGTGGCCCCATTTCATTTTGAAGAAAATCATACACCTCTAAGGGTGGTTGTTCACGCATGAAGATTCATTTTTATAAATAGCGCCTAAATTTTACTTAGGAGCAATTATTTTAATGGTTGATTTTGCTATTTCTCCAATTCAAGGCGTTTTTCTCTCAATATACTTTGAGTAGTGAGAACCAATTTTTATTATCTCCAATGTCAAGTCCTGTATAGTGGCGAATTTAAGGATATTTCAATAAAACTTAGCAATTAGACGTAATTCCACGTACTTCTGAGGTCGGTTTTTTTAGTACTCTGTACTGAGATTATTACGATCCATGTCGCTACCTAGTTTAAAAAATACGTTCAGTACGGCTGACGATCGTCGAAGGAATGGTCACCCGAAACGTGGCTTAGATGCCTTGCCGCATGAAATCGCATCGCAGCAATTCGCGTAGCAGTTTTCTGCGTTGCGAATTTGCATCGCGCCGATTCGCAATTTCGTGTTTCGACCCTTACCCAAACAAATGAATGTTTCGGGCCCTTTACAGAGATCGTGGCCACGGCTGATTAAAAATAGTTTAATTCCCAATGTGTAGCAATAGCGAAAGCGTAACAAATTGATAATTAAGACGTTTTTGAAAGTGCACGATCACATTGTGTTATAGGTTGGTGAACTTAAGAACAATATACTAACTTAAGCTTCCTTATCTGGCTTTCGCAAAAGAATTAAAGAGTTTACGCTAATAGGACAAATAAACGGCATCAATTACTGAGCTAGTTGTTAATTTATTTTAGTATTATTATGACTCAGACATCATTCTTATTATTATAAATTTTGTTACTTTATATTGTTTATGAGCACGCTGCATATTGTAATAATTTTATTCTAAATTGGATATTTTTATTTTAAATGTTTAGGTTACCGATCAAATACTTGTTATCATTTTTAGCTTTTGTCAAATAGGCATAGCCACCTCTTCTCAGGCTCCAGCTGAAAATCAGCACTCTGGCTCTGCCCAGCATAAGCTGAGCTGGCCTTTAGCCTAAGCCTTTTCGGCTATTATTATGTATTTAGTAATATATACATTTTTGTTTTTTTTTAAATTGTTTATTCTTTAATTTAAATTATTATCATTATTTTTTTGTATATTTATTTGTAATAATAAGAACAATAATTTTGTAAAAAAAACTTTAAAGCGAAATCTAGCTACTAAATTATCATTTGATTGTATGTATTGTGGTGATAATTGTTGGATATTTTACGCGAAAGAATGTTCTAAGATGATTCAAAATCTTTATTAGTTATTAAGTAAATATACTGAGAAACGAAGTTTGCCAGAGTACGGCCTGAGCGGAGCGGTAGTAGCTTAGTGGGAGAACGGTTGCTTATCCATTGAGAGGTTGTCGGTTGGAATCTCTGCGGCGGCGTTAATTATTAAGTGTCGTGCATTTGTGATATTTAGAGGTAATATTTATCTCATTAATCGCGAAAGAAAACATCGAAACGAAACCAGCACGTCGAACAAGGTCTACAACAATCTTAAAATGTGGCCTAACGGCCTAAGCCCTCGCCTGAGAGGAGACCAGTGCCCCGCGTGTCACGTATAAATGTGTACAGCATGGCCTCATCCAACCAGCACTGTCTGACTTTTCACAATCTGCAGTATTTATAACACTTTCTTATGAAAGGGCCCTGACTCAGCAGTAAGGGCCCTTTCATAAGACTGTTGCAAATAGGTATGTATGTGACAGGTGCAAAATTTTGGTTTTCTGTTTAAGTATGGGTCTATATCAATGTGTATAAATTTATTTTGTATGTGCTTTTGTGTTGTATACCTTGTGAAGTGATTATAAAGTTAGTTTCTGCTCGTATTTGTGCTGAGCAAACGTTTTATCTATCTGCCTATCCAAAAATATTCATTCATATTCGTATTAAAGGAATGTAGTAAATTTTGTAAACCGATTTACGCTAGTTTGAAACTAATGTCATTTTATAAGATAATCACATTGAACTATTATTATTATGTAAGTATTTGTCGTTATTAGAAACATAAAAACCAAGAAAATAAATGTACGAATAATTTCTTCTTACAAAGTACTGTGTTACAGCTACAGTTAAACAAGCCGTCAATTGTGTTTGAAATCGCATTTCGCGTTATTTAATAATTTAATACCTGATCTTATAAAATATTCTTATTGTTAAAGAAAAAGGACTTACGTGTTAAAATAAGCTTCATGATTGTCGTTGCGCGTGCGACTGGTGCGCGGTGGTGTCAGAATAATCTGTAACAAGATGTGACCCTTGTTTTATCTTTTTCATGCCTATGGCCGCGGCAATAATCGAATTTGGTAAAACATACTTATGGTATATATAAACAAAGAAATAATTCACTCGAAGTAATAAATGAACCCATCTTAAATGAAATTTAGAGACTATCGATTTAAAGTTAGGTATCATACTGGACTGCCACGCAAGAGGTCCCGGGTTCAATTCCTGTGCCCGGAGAAATATTTCTATGGCCTTCATTTATTTCTCTCGTGAGTTTGGGTGTAATTTTATGTTGTGGTTGTCTATGTGTGTCCATGGCACTCGCGATATAGGGTTTCCCTAGAGCGAGGCTATGAGTGTATGCGCGTTATTTATTATTTATTTATTTTTCTTTGATTTTAAATTGATTAGTTTAAAAAAATAGAACGACCGACGGCAAAATCTCACCAATATCTGTATGTTGTAATAGCAACTGCAATTGTTTATTTCAGAAACTGCTAGTGGTATCGGTTTGAAATTTGACGTAATTTTACAACTTGATTGCATGTTTCTGTTTTAGAGTAAAGAATATTGCAAATCGGGTCTAAAACTTGAAGGATCGAGTGGGGTAACATACGAAAGATCTTGTACACATTTTTTATGTTTTTTGTTTAATGTGTAGTTTTCGACCTATTGATAAAAATGTTCGATGTTTACGGGTCTCCTCAACTCCGTACTTAGTTAATAAAAGTGTAAAAGATATCAGACTGCTAATCTTGATAATTATCTGTATTTGGATAAGTAGTTCCATCACAAAATTTTCCTAACAAAGTCCATTAAAAATGAGGTCTTGGAGAGTGAAAAATTAAATTAAGTCGAGTGTGATATCGCAAACGAAAGGGTCGGTATCTTAAAGATTATATCTTCAAAATGACCTGACCAGGAAAGAGCTTGAATTAAAACATTTTTCATTTTCTGTTCAATACTTTATGATTTCTCAAGAAAAATACTCCAATATAACGTTTAATGCCACGCTTTTGGGAAGTTGAAAATGTCCCTGATAAAAAAAAACACTAAGTCCCGACGATGAAGCATGTGAGCAATTCAGTTTTATATCGACCAAGATTATTTAGCTAAAGTTCAAAACAATTTCCAAGACATTGATCTGTATTACTTGCCGCATGAGCATTGCATTGAGCCCCTATCGTGTGTCGTCCTCAGAATAAAATATTTTTTTTATTTCTAATCTGGCCTATTATTTTATTACGTAAATTTTTATAACTGAATTCAATTGTCAATCAATTAGTTTCAAAAATCAGTTGGTTTCAAAATAAATAATTATTGCATTTTTTTTACACACAGTAATGCACACACTCAACATAGCCTCGCACTAGGGAAAACCTGTGTCGCGGGTGCCATGCATTTTAATTTTATTTGTAAACTTTCGTCAATAGTAAAGCTCCTTGTGAAAGAGTTTGTCCATACCTTACCTATTTCAGCCCCTAAGCTGTAATGTGAGCATTACTGAATTTCGGTTTGAAAGAGTAAGGGTGCTGGTGAATTACAGGCACATGAGACTTGTCAACTCATGTCTCACGGTGGCGGGCGCAGTGGCAGTGCCCCTAAGATCTTTGCGATTTAAAGCTCTGAGGGGCATTGCAACTGTCTGGATAGGCGTGGCGCCTGTTTTTAGTATAAAAATAATAATAATAAAAAATTAGTATTTCCGTTTTATCACGTTGATTGCGACGTCTGTATTCTCGCATTGGACGCGATGGAGCACCTAGAGTGCGTTGCATAAGACTGTGGTCAATAGACAGCTACAATAATGGTTTTTATCCAAAGTTTTGGCTAGGAATTACGATAGAAAGTTGAATATTGAATTTCATTATACATGTGACTAAATACTTCATGTAAGTACCTTTTGCAAGTTTAAGTTGAGCCAAGGCAGAACCCATGGTAAAATATAATAAATTATGATTGCATCCTATCTTACATTATATCCTAAATAACGCAGTGATAAAAAAAACAAGAGTAGTAGAATCGTTCAAAACATTAATTAATAATATTAACAATGAAAATAAATTTCGGCAACGGATATTTTTATATCGGTCAATTTTGATGTCTTATAAATAATTGGATTATTTCTCATCCTGTAAAATAAAAATAATTCGTTAGTGTTAAAATAACCAGTTTCATTAAAAATAAAAACTCTTAATAAACATTGATACTTTGTTTATTAAGAATTTTTGAGACAAAATGAACATTCAAAACTTCTACAATAAAGCATGCATTTTCCTGCTTCTTTATTGTTATTGTAGTGCATTTAATTAATGAATTCCTTCTCCTTACAACATGCTAGTAGAGACGTAGAGCTTTAACATAATGAAAAAAAAAACTGGGACATAATGAATGAAGAACAATTAATTACAGCTTTTGATCATGGCGTCGCGCGTCCTTTCAGGGTTCTACAGACACAGTAGGTAAGGCCTGTGTAACTTAATCTATGCGCCGCATGAGATTATTGTCCCAGAAAAGTAAGCAGGTACTGTTCGCATTAAAAAAGTAAAGTTACATAAATAAATATGAAATAGTATACAAAAGATGTATGTTTTTTATGTGTTAATAAATCAGCACTAACATTTTTATGAATCAATCTCATGTATCACGTACACTTGAAAGGGTTGTAACCCTAACTAGCCGTGAACAGGTTCACGGCAATGAAATGGGAAACTTCCGGTCCACAAAATTTATTAAAGAAGTAAAGTTTAAAGAAAGGCTGTAACAATATAAAGGTAAATGTAAAAAACAAGTATAACAGTATAAAACACTCCCTACACTTTATTATTAAGGCACTGACCCCCAAATGGGCCGAGAAACTGAATTACAGAAATAGATACATAAAGGCTGTAGACTTATAAGTGTAATACACATGATTAGCTTATTAACAGCTCCGACTGTTGTGGCGGTCGAGCTGGGAGTGACCGTGGTACGAAAACAAAATGAGAAAGTGAAGGAAGATGGAACAATTCAAATTTTAAATTTTAAATGCATATAAAATAAAAAATGATAGGATACAAGCGGAGAGAGGCGATACAAAGAAGTGAGATGACGGTGTAAGGAAATCACACCGTCACACACTTTACGTATTACCCCGAACGAAGTTAGAAAATAATCCCAATCCTAATTAATATGCTTTTCGTTCATATGTAGCAAGAATACCTAATATTTAAAAACTCCATTAAAGAGAATGTATTGTCCTCCCTACAAGAAGAAGACGAACGGGTGATTTGCCTTGAATTCTTCTTGCCGAGGCATAAATACGGGATATGCCACCTGGAATGCTGCAATTATACATTATATTGTTATTACCTTATTTTGGAATTTTTTTTACAATACGTTGATATACTGTGCACCTACACAAAAAGCGTAACACTTACTCATTTTGATTAATTGAAACTTCCACCTAAGAAAATACAATGATGAACGAAATTATATTCATTACATGTGTTTAACGAACAGTGAATGTAAATTTAGATTATTAAGTATTTTGAGCCTGCTCAATTTCAATCGTCTTCTGTATGAAATATCGAACATTAAACATTTTTACAACTATCTTTTTTGTTAACGTTAAAATTGTAAATTTTTCTATCAAGGATTAAAACAAGTGTTTGAAAGACTGTTACAATACTATAAATATGTATAACAACAGCTACTAACAACTATAAATACGGCTGCAAGTAATTATGTCACTTATGACCCTTGTCAGGCTATTTTCTACTTGGCTGTAAATTCCATAAATAAGTAATCAATCTCCTACCACTCCAACAGTTTTTAATAAATAAAGAATTTGTACTAAGAGCAGTCGGATTTATGTGTTAACAACTTTAAGTGAAGGAGAGTTATTGTAACATTATATTCATCGTGACCTTCTTTGAAGGTGAATGTAAAAAGAATTTGAGAAATATAAAACTTTGATCGTCCACTAAAAACTACATACTATTTGCAAAATAGTCTTTTAGGATTTTTGTGGTTATTCACTAAATAATTATTATCAGTAGTTACAGGTTTCTTACCACGGTATGAGTTATTTTTATTTTCCCAATATTTTGGAATGGTGTTAGATGCTCCATATTCGAAGAAATCGTGTTTTGATTTGTTGCAAGAAAAAACTACCCTTTAGTTTTAAACAGTAAATGTAAAAAAGAATTAATCATTCGATATGACTTAACGAGAAATTAATTGCAATATTGGATAATCTCAGTACAGAGTACTAAAAAACCCGAAAGTCATTCATAGCCTAGTTTGCTACCATTAGAGGTGGAACATTTTCTTCAAATTTAAATGGGACCTCTACTGAGGTATCATTCAAATCGGTTCCAGAGTTATCGCGTAACATACATACAAAAAAATGCAGTCGATTTGAGAACCTCCTCCTTTTTTGAGGTTGGTTAGAAATATTATGTATTGCACATTTATAGCCATACCTAATAATATTCCAGTGATATAAATGTCATGTTAAATTATATTAAACAGTAGTGCCGTTTCTGCACAACTGCGCAAATAGGAAGCTACTATATTTTGTGCTGCAACTACGGTGGATTTACCTTTCCTATAAGCATATTATTGACTATCTGATAACAAATCGTTCATTTCGAAATGATCCATAATGCTTGTTGATATAATAGATTCTATTATTTTTGATATATTCGGAACTATGGTTATCGTCTGTGGCTTTCGACATGGGTCACGTCCCCCTTCCCCGTAAATACTGGACATACACGAGTACTTTTCAAAATATCAGGATATATACCTTCTGTAAACATTTCATTTATTAAAATAACGAGTATGTCTCCAATCACTGGTCATATACATTATACTTAATACTATTATATATATATACATATATATTATAATATTAAGGCTATTATGCTCAATGTAATGCAAGCTGTGTTTCATCTTTAAATAGTTGTGCATCTTGCTGAACACCCTCACCAATGTAAAATGTATATGTATCGATTGACTTACAATTATATGAATTCGTGGTTTTTGTATTAGACCCGTCGTCCATTTATTTGTAAGTCAATGGTATCGATGTAACATTGCTGATGGTTCCTCAATAAATAAATAAACCTATATAATCTGGCCTCTCGATTGATGCCTTCTTGACGTTGAGTTGTGGGACAACCTGTACATACCACCCACCTGGGTATACCACAACCTCTTAAAACAATATTACTTTAACCTTACATTGACTTTTCGTATCATAACGCGCTTAAAGCAAGCCTATTTGTAATGTTAAAATTATGATGTTTTATTGGCAGCTTTGTGACTATTCATTCACTCAGCTCGTACCATGACGCGACTTTGACATTAAAGTAACATTGCTGTTATGTCAAATTTAGCAATGTTAAAATAGTTACACGGATACAATGGAAACAATATTATTTTCAGTTTTATTGTCTCAATGTTGATTTGTAATGAATAAAAGTTAAGTTGAACTTATTTATTTACATATCTCTTCAATATTTTCTTAATTTTTTATTTAATAGCACATAGGAAATAATTTCTCGTAAAATAAAAATACATGATGTTTATTTCGTAAAATTATGACAGCGCCATCTATATGCTCCTTGGCGAAACTAACAGTTGACAGTAGACTATAGTTCCGAATTCACAACGTGACTATCAAGACTCAGCTCGTTTTATTTATTTTTCTTCATGAAAATGCGGAATAATAATTGAAAACAACTTGATTTTAATAGATTTCATTATTACATACTTTTCTTTTTTTGGCAGTTAAAATTCTCCGAAAGTAAATAATATTAAATACTTTAACAATATACTACGATAACACGATTCGGAACATCAAAAAAGAAAGAGGGCATTATACAGTTCATATAGCGTTATTTCTTTCCTACTTTTAGTAAGGAATAGACAATATTGGGAAATAATTCGTTCTTTCAGTCACTTTAGCAATAATACATTACTTAGTTGATAGGTTTGTCATGGTACGAAAATAAGTAATATTACAATACGCTTACTTTATGCTTACATTGAAATAATATTGTTTTTTGAAAGGTTATGGTACTGGATGGACAGGGGGCCCTCTGTCCATCCATTAATATTTCGCACAATACTAAATGTTGGTAAACGCTTATTAGTAAATCATTCAACAGATGATAACGGATATTATTTGATTATATTCCGTTATGCCTGTATAATAATCGCTACATCGCTACTAAATAGATCTAAGCGGATGTCGATTCCCTGCCGAAGTGCAGAAGTCTTTCTTAGATTTAATTATTATTCTTTTTTCACCGTTCTGCAAATCAGCGAACGCAAAATTTTACAAATTGATTATTTTCCTCATATTGACATGGTGACCTTTAGAATAGAATATAATAGAATAGAATTATTTATTTCGGACCATGATCCATAATAATGTTAGTAATACAGTAAATTTTTCTTACGTGCTATGGTTAGTACTATACAAAATTACTTAATTTTAGTGAAAAGTGAGTCTAGACCACTACCCTACGCACGTTGCCCCCAATGTAGTTGATAGGGGCAGTCCAGCGTATTGGCAACAACGGCTAGGATGCTATTAGCGCTGCCGCGCACACGCATCATGAGTGAGGCAGCCTTCTTGCGCATAATGGCATGAAAGCCATCTGTGTGCGCCTCCGTGAACATGCCGGATGCACTACAGTGTCGCGGCAGCCCCATTAGCATCCTAAAAGAGTTGTTTATTTATTTATTTATTTATTTTAAACACTAAGAATATTACAAAAATATATATACATCACACCCTTAAACCTACATTGGTTTGTCCGGGTGCTGCACGTTCTCCTTAATTACATCTTAATATTACATTCTTATATTTAATAAGCTAACAAAAGATTACAAATCTCAATTAGAAATTACATGTTTCATTGTTATACTACTACATTTATTTAATTATTTATTTATTTTTATTTTTTTTTTTTCAAAGTAACTTTTAATTGAACTTTTTATATTAACCGTAGTTATGTTTTTCTTTAATTCTAAAGGTAAATTATTAATTAATTTAGGTACAATAAAATTAGTAGTCCTTTCTCCATAGAAATTATGCGAAGCAGTTGTTATTAAGGTTTGCAAAGTAATTTGTCTCGTACCTTTTGTGTGACTAACTTTCTTATCAATATATTTAAAAAAGTTATCTATTAATAGTAAACATTTAATTTTATTTTGAACATTTAAAACTCCGCAATAATCAAATAGACCCTCGTCATTATCTCGAAACTGCTCTTTAATTCTATAAGGTACAATTAATTTTAAAAGTCTTAGCTGAAGTTTATAAATTTTTTCCAAATATGTTTTGAAAGTACGACCGTAACTAGTTAATCCATATGCAACTATACTCTCCGCTAAAGCTTTATACATTTGTAAAAGAACACCACAAGGCACGCGACGTTGTATTAAGAAAAACTTAGCCGTAATTGCTCGTAATTTTGAACAAATCAGTTCTATATGCGGCCCCCAATTAATCGATGGTCAATTACCAAACCAAGGTAAGTATGTTGGTTTACATTTTCAATAGCTTTACAGTCACATACCGTACTATGATAGTTACCTGTGTGTAAACATTGATGCTCATGCGCGACTATCTGTACCCTTTCTGTAGTTTTGACATAACTGGAGTGTACATGCATTAATTTAGTTTTTTGAGCATTGAGCACTAGGCCCGCGTCATGAGACCAACTACAAATCGCATTAAAGTCATGTTGCAGATGTCCGAGTGCAACTAAGGGGTCACGGTCAGCTGCCACTATGCAAGTATCGTCTGCATATTGAAAAATTTTACATTTATGTATTACAATATTAATATCATTAACATATGCTAAATAATGTAAAGGCCCCAGGACCGATCCTTGTGCCGTTCCTTGTGTTACGTTAATTTTCTTACTGTGCTCTTTACCTATCTTAACACAATATGATCTTTCATCTAAGTAACTTCGGCACCAGGTTAGCAAAGGACCCCTTACCCCGCTATCATCTAACTTTTTTATTAACGTGTCATGTTGAAGCGTATCAAATGCACGACTATAATCAATGAAAATCATGAATACATGAAGTTTATTGTCTAAACATCCATTGACATAGTCGGTAAAAATTGAGAGTAATTGGGTCGTACTTTTACTTCTCTGGAAACCGAATTGATTTACAGAGAGTATTTTATTATCGGCATAAAACTTGTTAATTTCGAAACATATATACTTTTCTACTACTTTATCCAAGATTGGTAAAATAGTTATAGGTCTATAGTTACTATAATTACGTTTGTCACCCTTTTTAAATATTGGTCTGACCACCCCTTCTTTCAACTCTCTTGGATATTTACCCGAACGTATACTCTCATATATTAATTTCGACAATGGATACACTATTTTCTCCGAGAGCGCTTTTATATCTATTGGACGAATCATATCTGCCCCCGGCGCCTTATTAGGTTTGATACTCTGAATAATTTTATGAAGGACTCTAGGATGCGGTTTTTTAATGTACATAGACACATCTGCAATTTTCGAGTATTCATATGTGTTTAGGATATTCATTGTGCAAGTTGGCAATATGTCTTTCACTGCTTTGTCAAAGCCCACTGCAAAATCATCAGCGATATCTTTTTCCTTAAGGTTGCTAAAAGCTTTTACTATGACGTCATCTAGTGATTGTTTAATTTTACCCGTAATTTTATTTAAAATTTGCCAAAGTTTTCTTGGATCATTCTTATTGTTATTTATGATTTTCTTATAATAATTATTTCTTGAGCGTTGTACATATTTATTTACTTTGTTTCTTAGTTTATTATATTCTAATTTTAAAACTCTGTTTGTACTATCTTTTTTTAATTCAATAAATTTGCTATCTTTTAGCCTACACAATTCAATAACTTTTGTATTTACCCACCCTTCTTTCCCCCGCTTAGAATTTTTAACTTTAATAGCAAATTTAGCGACATCATAACAAGATGTTATCTTATTTTTAATGTAGTGATAAATTTTACTAGGACAATCTAAATCTTCTACAGGTTTCCAGTTTATTTTATGAAGTTCCCTCTTTAATATTTGGTAATTATATTTTATTACACAAGGTGGAGCATCCTGCACGATACTTGTGCCTACGCATGTTACTATTGTAAGCCGGTGGTCCGCTAAAACTGTTCCGAGCGCAGCACAGTAAACGTCTTGAGTGCGCGATCTCACGAATATATGATCAATACAACTTTTCGTAATTTTTTCTTTAAGTGATTCTATTCTCGTATAATCATTGATCCCGCACACAAGACCATGCCCACTTAACATATTTATGTAACTTATTGAAATGCTTTCAGTGGATTTAAGGTTGATGTTCATATCTCCTAACAAGATCAGATCAGTTGAAGTGTACCCGCCTAAGTGAAAGTTAAGTTCTGTTATAAAAGATTGTTTACATTGCGACGGCGGTCTATAAATAGCACAAAGAATTATAGAAGTGTTATTACTCGTTAATAATTTCCCAGTTATAGATTCATAGTAATTTGTTTTTACTGCAAAAGTTTTAAATTTATGTTTATCTAGTACGTAAATAATAATACCCCCTCCTTTTTGACTTTTCCTCAGTTCCGTGTGCATATTGTATCCCGCCAAATGAAACAAAGAACTAACTTTGTCAGATATACCCACCTCTGTCAAAACAATAACATCAATTTTAAACTTACAAATTTGAATCATCAATTCTATTTTAGAAAAATTCTTAATTAATGAACGAATATTTACATGTACACACGATAAATTGTTGGAACACTGAGGCACTGAGGAGCAAAAGTTGTTTATATCTACACAGTCAGAAAGTTCTATAACGCTATTATCAACAAAGAAAGCCATTTCCAAACGTTAATTTTCGTATTACATTGTAGGTACACACTTTACTTAGCTTGACTCGCCAACTTTTGAAGATCGTTCTCTGACCTAATGATGATCACTTTGTCATTGTCTTGTTTACGAGCCAAAACCTTCCCATGTCTACACCACACATATTTAAAAATATCTTTCAATGTCTGTTTTGATTTCCACAATAGGTTTTTCTGGAAAGGTGTAAGCGCCTCCCTGACGAAAACTTTTGCATCTCTCTGCTCCCGCTCCAGGTTCGACAAAAGGTCACCGGCTTTTATATCGGTGGCCCGCGCCGCTGCTACCCACAAATTCTTACTATCCTCGTTCTCCATTTCTAAATGTATTACACCAGGTCTGCCTGCACGAGAGTTCATTCTCTTTGCTTTCTTTACGTTTTCCATTTGCACATTCAATTTGTTTGCTATTTTTGTAGCTAACACCTGCACATTTTCCTCATTTTGAACAGGTACTTCTGCCACTTCTATGACATTAATCATTTTATATTGTTCTGCTTCATTAAAACGTTGCTCAATTGCGCTGATTCTATTTTCCAGAAAAATGTTTTTATTTAATAAATCCACATTTTTTTGTTCAAGAGTCTTTATCTTTTGCTGGAATACCTCCATCTTTTCCAAACTGTCGTCTAATTTGTCGCTAATAAATTGAACACTCGAAGTTAGTTCATTTAATTCGCGTTTTAATTCTCTTTTTAACAGCTTGTCCATTTCTCTGGTTATATCCTTCATAAACTTCTTCACCTCCAGAGTAACCAATTTTTCTTCTTCGTCTTCGTCTTCGTCTTCTGGTGTGAATAAAGAAGTCTTTTTTCCCATCTTAGAGGAGCAATCATTACAGGTCCACTCCAAGTTATCCACCGCATCCAATGCGCTTAACTGCTTCGAATTTAAACCCGAACACTCATTCTTAGAATGCACAACAATTTTGCATTTATTGCACTCAATCCCTGGGGATTTCTTATTCACCAATTTATTACACATATTGCACTTGACAGCCATTGTAAGGTATTTTGAAAAACAAAAACTTTGACACGACACTGTACGTGCTTACTAAACCACTGTCAGATGAGAACTGTCTATTGCATCATCAGATGAGAACTGTTATATTGCACCCTTAATGTATTCAGGGTTCGCTGCGTATACTTCACCCACAGGCTGCTTGTGTAAAAGTTTTGGCAATATAAGTAGTGAAATCTTTACATCTTTGGTGTAACGAGCAAACCTGTGGGCGAGCATATTACATCTAACAGACAGGGCCCTTCTCTCCCTCTCCATGTCGGCACTATCATGCAAGTTATCGGTTACCCAGTGACCCAGGTACTTAAATTGAGAGACACGACTTATCTCACTACCATAGAGAAACACCGGCGGCATAGTTCCAACAGAACCTGCCTTCGGCTTAAAAACTAGGAACTATTTTTCGTGTCATGGGTCCTTTGACCCCCGTTGATCGAAATTCAAAATGATAAAATTGAATACGATTCTAGTTTATAGGCCAATTCCATATGTCTGTGCCAGTTCCGTAACTCCGTTCGAAATTCGTCGAGCGAGCGAATCTTCCTTGTCATCCTCTTAACGGTAATTCTCGGACTAGTGTTTACCGTTCACTACCTTATTTCGGAGGCAATTTTTATCATACATATAAGTATTCGCTTTTTTATCGTGGAATATTATTTAATACTCGAGTGTTGTATCGTGAAATATTATTTACACGAACATTTACACGATAATAATATACTTAAATATTTAAATAATAAAAACTGCCACTAGTCCGAGAATGCCATAAAAATTCTATAAAATATAACTTATTCGCATTAAATATGCTTTACATTACTACATTAATAAAATTTAGTAGTAAAATTAAATTGGAGAACTATTTAGCTTTAAATAACAACGTGCTGAAGGTTCCAGTGTAGTATCCCCGCCAGACCAGTCAGAATTTTGAAACCTTATGACAAAAACCATTTACCGTCATAGATTGTACTCGTGCTGTAACAACGCTAAATAACTCGTACAAACAATATAAGGTTGAGAGTTGTGAGAGTGTTCAGTGGTTGTGAGTGCGACGTCCCAATTCTCGCAGTGGATGCAATGGAGTGCCGTGATTGCGTAGCGTAGAGAGTGTAGCAGAATATTGACCTCAGTAGACAACTACACTAAAGGCTTTTATCCAATGGACAAGTCTTGGTTGACAGCGACGATACAAAGTTGGTAAATTTCATGACAAAAATGTTATGTACATCCCTACGTACTTTACATTACATTCATTAACACGTTTTAGGTGACTTGAGCCTGCAAGTGATATGGTTAGATTATCATTGTACGACGTTTCGGGCTCTTTACAGGTTCCATGGTCACGGTTGACTTTGTGGTGGTTTTTTTTATTGTTTTTACATTTTGACATCATATTAATAGAGTGCTTGGGAAACTTAAGCTAAGCTTTTATTGTACTTTTATACCTGACCTTCCTATTTTCATTTCATATTTGCTTTTTTGAATAACTTAAGAGATAAAGAAAACAAGAGTGGTATTACAATTCAAAACATTTATTGATAATAATGAAATTAAAATTCGATACTTGATTTTTTCAAGCCAGTCGATTTGGGTGCGTTTTAAAAATAATTGGATTATTTCTCGTCCTGTAAAATAAAAATAAAGCGTTAGTGTCAAAATAATCAGTTACAGTAAAAGATTTTGGAGTAAATAAAAAAATAAGTTATTAATACAGTTTATTAATGTTTTCTTAAACTTTACGTAGGGGCCTCTTAGTAAACAAATGATTAGCAAAAAGACAAAAAAGAAGAAAGAAATAAATCTTAAACATTTCTATAACATATAGCATGCACTTTTCCAATATGCCGTTGTTATTGCAACAATTCCCCGTTGATATTGCATGCAAGTTGACACGTATAGCTTTACACTGTCGCCATTAGTTGAAAGGGCGCACGTGATATTTTTACAAAAAAATTGTTATATGTATATATATAATATATAATTGTTATATGTGTATGCCGTGATCAGTAAATAATAGCCGCTGTCACTATTTTTATTTTTCCTACGTGTATGGTATGAAGTTACCGGAAGAGAAAAGAAGACATATTTCTAATATAATTTTTTTTACATATTTTCTCGGTTTTGACTTTTGGTCACAAGCGCCCTTTCAACTAACGACAGTGCATAATGAAAAGTATTATATGATTATCACTAATTACAGGTTTCTTACGGGTTGAAGACAACCCATGACTATGGAGCGTGTAACCGTTTCGAAATATCGGGAACATAAAAAGAAATGAGTAAGAAACTTGTAATTAGTGATAATAAACATTTAGTAAATAACAAAAGCCTTAAAATCGAAAGGAGTATTGTTAGTATGACGAAATGCGTGCAGAATAATTAATTATATAGTCGTTGCAGCGTGATGTAAAAGTATATTAAGCATTTGTATTGATAGCTCAGGAGTTTAAGAGACGCAGTGCCGTAAAGGCTGCGGTGGCATATAGAATAAACAACCATCAGAATACTGTAAATTAATGAAGTCTACCTGTTCGATGCAACCTATCGAACCCATCGAAACACAGCCCATAAAGCAATTTTCAAACACGAACATGCTTAACATTCAAAGGGAATCTTCTATCTTTACCTACGAAACGAACACTCCGTTAAAAAGAATGTTTTGCTGAGCTTTCAATATAAATATAAAGGCGTGGTCAGCGCGAAAAGTTACTCTTGGTTTCAAAGCACTTCCGAACATGATAATGATTTCTGTAATAATATTGTTACGTGAAAAATCGAAATTGAAGCCATAAATGTGCCAACATTCGGAGGTATACAATAGGTTATTGGGAATTCGGGAACTCAATATCTTGGTCGAACTGATACAAACATTTTGGTAAAGTAAAAATATGATGGATGACTAAATTTGTAAATTCATGAAAATATTCAATGTACATATTATAGGTAGTTGACTAGCAATTCATGGATCAAAATATACGAAAATTTACGAAAGCACTGAAGCGCTTTGAATAAAATTCGATTTCAGAATAGAATGCTGCACTTTTTTTGACAGTAAAGCGAACAATTGGTCATTTGAAATTCTAAACTTCTAATAAGTTTCTTCTAGTAACTATACCAAGGCTTCTAATAAGGTATATTTAATCAAATGAGTTGCGGATAAAACGTTTACAGTGTAAATTTGAAATAAAACCGCCCATGTAAGTAATTAATATGACTCCTAAGGCAAGACTACATTTTGAGAAACAAAGTTAGTACACAAGTCATAATTTCGTTTAGTCCAAAAACCTGCTGTACCTAAGATTGGAAAACCCCATCAAAGACAGCATTTCTCCCCACTTTCACCACGAAGAGGAATGGATGGTCCACTATGAACTCAGTGTTTTTTGATAGCGCAAAGCTTGCACCAGGACCGTAAAATACTGCAAAAATATTTTATTTATTTACAGTCAAAGTACCTAAGGGTGTTAGACGCCGTTAAATAGAGTGTTACTTTCTTCTTTGAGGATGAAGACAAACGAATGGTTTGCTTTAAATGTGGAGCCCTGCCTTAAGCTATTTAAGTTTATCATGAAATTTGAAAAAAATGATTGTGATGTCGCACATGAAACCAAATATTGTCCTAACTCAAAATTGTGGATGAGAAAACATAATTTGAAAATTTTAGGAAAAGACTAAATGGATTTTATTGCGAATAATGAGGTTATTTTTATTTATACATAATACTTGATTCTCAATTTATAAACGGGAATATCGAAATAATATAATATATTGGTTTCTTTCGGTATTTTTTTTTAATTTTCAAATCGTCTCTCTCAATTGCACAATTTTCAGTTAGGACAGTATTTGGTTTCGTGTGCGATGTATTATGATGAACATAAAAATTGGAAGAAGTGTTTCAGAATTCTTTGTTGATTAGCCCTGCATATTGAGTTGCTACCGAGTAACTTATTGGTTACAATCTTTTACTGATTACGATCATAGTTTTGTTTTTTTAGGCCAAAATATATATTTACAGGTAGATAAATAACAGAATATGAAGAAAATATCTGTTTTGTTGTCCTTTACCATAGAAAAATGTTTTTTCTTTGATTTTGTAAGTTGTACACAAATACATAACTTAAAGACTATTAGGCATGAATATATTATTGAAGGACGGCAATAGAGGGACTACAGAAGTGGTTAAACCTCGAAGATTGCGAAGGACAAAGCAGAATAAGCGACGTATTCAGAACGTATTAAGTATAAGTTCGTTAGCCGGTCAACTACACGCAGCAACCCGGCGTCAATAAATTCACAACAGCCTGGAAAACCCCATTAAAGACAATATTTAATTCTGCTTTTACTAGCTATAACAATGAGTGCCCTAATTAGAACTTGATGCTCCCATGTGGCATATAGCTCATATTAGCACCGTGAACAAAATTAAGAGGGAGCATGCCAAAAAAGTTTTGACGTTAGCTCCGCCCACATTTGTGAGACAAATATATGCCTGAAGTTCGCGTGACATGCGACAGGAGATGTTGAATTTTGCGCATTAAAAGTACCAAATTCGTTTTAGCGGAATAACTCTAAAACTAAGGGGATTAAAAAAAATCCGCAGTGACAGTTGTCGATCATGCATAAATACAATTAATTATCTAATTTTTGTCCTAATAACCTGTAGCATTTTGAGGATGAATCGAAAAAATGTGAAAATTAGAGGTCGTGATTTTTATCTATCGAGGAAACTTTATTGTTTTATGTTTCTGATTAGTGTCTATGCTTGAATATATCGTGTAGTTACTCATACAATATTTTATTTTTAACTTTAAATTGGATATACCCCTCTAAAATCAAATCGAAGATTAGGTATTTTTCCTCTGCTTTTAGCGCTAAAACAAATTTGGTACTTTTAATGCGCAAAATTCAACATCTCCTGTGGCATGTCACGCGAACTTATATTTATCTCACAAATGTGGGCGGAGCCAACGTCAAAACTTTTTTGGCATGCTTCCTCTTAAGTAGGTTTGAAAGAGAAGCAAAGCCCTTAATACCAGGATAGCATGCGTATTTTATGTCTAAAGAAAGTACCTAAGAACGATATATTCCGTTAAAGAATGTGTTATCTCCTTCTTTGAGGAAGAAGACAAAGGGACGGTCTGCTGTAAATTTGGTTTGTTGACGTATTACTGCACTTAAAGTTGCTATCCCGAATGCTGAAAATGACAATGGTGTTGCATAGGTCAACGTGATCGGCAGGCGTACTGAGTGTGATTAAATTATTTTGCTGGTGATTCCTGGATATTAACTGGCTGCCTAATTTCCTAATCCATAATTTACTACTGATCGCAGTTCCATGCATCTTGATGAAAAATCTGCTTGCATAGATAAAAAAATAGCAATGAACGAATGACAAAGTCAAATGTAGTTATGGTCTGAATATTATGCTTTAAAAGTTTGATGAAAGTACCTATGGACGATATATGCCATTAAACAAAATGTTTTCTCCTTCCTTTAGGACGAATACAAACGGGTGGTCCGCTTTGAATTGATTTGGCCGAGGTAATAGCGAGCTTGGTAAAACTGCTACAAATGCTGAAATTGCAAGGAATTGGACTAAATTGGCAAAAATAACGAATAAAAAAGGATCACGGTCATTTGTAATTGTATTTTTTTTTGTAGTAACGTATCCCATATGTGTTTCTATACGTTAGACCTAAGTTCCCTACGAAGCTTTTAACGGACTAGTTTGAGAGCTGTTTCTCATTGAACAAAAAAAAAAGTCATTTAGTAAATATGATATTTATTAAATATGTTAGATACAAATGTAGTACTCGTAAAGTCATTATTTGGAAAATGACCGCAGACTGATCGCAGTGGTAATTATAAGAAAAATATTGAAGAGAGAAAGAAGCATAGAAATACCTCAACAACTATAGAGGTAAAGATGCCTGTTAGACCGGCACAATGTATTACCCCGTGCAAAATAAATATTTCTAATAACATGCTTTTATAGGCAAGATTACCTAAAAGTTAAAAACTCCGTTAAAGAGAATGTATTGTCCTCTCTTCAGTAAGAAGACGAACGAATGATTCGCTGTAAACTCTGCTTTCTGATACAGAACTAAGCTTTCTACGATAAAGACAGCTGGAATTATAAAGTTTCATTGTTATTACTTTGTTTTGCTCAATAATAATACCACTAAAATAAGACGCGAATGTAAGATATGGAAAAGTCAAGTACCGCGTTATTTTTCTAACACATAGTTGTTAAAACTGAGAAAAAAACATCTACATACATAATTATGTATAGACAAATTTCATTTAATTCTGATGATCTTGGTTTAGAAATTATTGTCTAGAGACTAGCGAGATAATAGGAATAAACCTTTACAATGTTATATGTTAGTTTCACGCTACGCTTCTGGGCCTTGCTAAATGCATAATAGTTGCGACAAATGTATAATTCTATCTAAAAAGGTTCAACGATGAGCAAAATCATATTAATTTAATGTGGTTGATGAGCGGTGATTCTCAATTTAGTTATTAAGTACTTTGGTCGTGGTTAATTTTAGTCATGTTTTGTATGGAACATAAATATCGTTGATATTTTTGTAAGGACAACTTTTTGATATTTGCTACATGT